TCCTAGCTGGGGCACGATGCGTTGATGCATCTCGAAATTAGGGAGCCGCGCGCGGCGGGTGTTATATACGAAGTCGTAGGCCTAGTTGGTCGCGATCGAAGTTTCGTGTGGATATCGCTCTCAAGTTGACGTACGACAGGTACGGTGCGACGATAAGCGTGGGATGATGATGAAAGGTTAAGATGTTGGAGAAGCAATCATAATAGATTGTAGAATTGAAGTTTAGAAATTGAATAACGTGACTCAAATGGAGGTGAAACTCTAAAGGCGACGCGTCGACAAAGTAGGCGCAAACGAAACGGTTGCAGGTTCAGACTCGGAGGCAGGTGGTGATGTCGTAGCGCAGCAGGAGCCGTAACCGTAGCAGGTACAATAGCTCGGTGACGGCTGCAATGGAAAGCTCCAGCTTGAATGGGCCTCGAAGGCGGGCGCTGCAGAGGTCACGGCCGACCTGCGTCATTGGTTTCTGTGGGCCCAGTCTGCCTCTAATTCGCCAGCGTGATTAACTTAGTGGTCCTTGTGGTCTAAGAGGCCGGGGTCAGAAGCCGGGGTTGAGCTTAGCCATCGTATTAGCTCCAGTCAATGATTCATTCGGAGTTTGACTGCTATACCCTAGAGATATGGATGTGAATTTAATACATTCAGAGGTAGCAGTTATTGAGATCATGCTCAGTTCATTTGGTCGGCAAATGTAATCATCATGTCGCAGGGATAGATCTAAGCCACTCGTAGGGTTTGACTTCTATGTAGGGCCCTGAAATCCATTCATACCTACCTAGGTAGATAGGTGCAAGGTTTCTATAAGTGTCAAGAGTCGTATTTATGTGCCTAAATAAGTAAATTTCAACTCTGCAGAACTGAGAAATGCATCGCCCTATCCATAGATAGTACTCCGTAACCACTATATATATCCAGACAGCATTCCATAATGTAATCCTTGATCATAAACCCGCTACTCTTGTGCTAGAAACTTGGACGAATATATACCTAGTCACTATACTTAGGTATCATTGATTGCTCTGAATCCAAGGGTTCAACTTGGACAAACATTAACGGAATATTACACAAAACCACGATAGATGCAGATTCTGCCAGTCAGATAAACAACCTTATCAATATAGTCTAAGCCTAATAGTAAAAGCAGCCAAGTTAGTGCTATCATCAGATATGAAGCATGAGGCATTCTCGCTCAGACATCCCCAATTTTCTACCAGCATAGGCCCGTGTAAAGTCAATCAACAGACCCGAAAGTGAATTCAGGTATGAATGCTCCCAATAAACCCAAGACTTCAGGTCTTGTGCTACTCATTAATTGTATTGTATTTCCAACTTTGCAACCCCAAGCCTAGTTATCATGGCACGTGATACGTCAAGCAACTTGAACTAACTCCACCGTCGCCCAAGAGCCTCGAAAACACCACGACTCTTTCAATCTTTCTGTGTGTATAAAGCACGGGAAGTTTCTGAAGACTTGGCGACATAGTTTTTCTTATTACTTGTAGCATTATATAAAGTACCATGCTTTATTCTGGAACCAGCCATAACCATCACAACACTATCCCTCCCCCAAGATGCCAGAAACCTCAGAAGAGCTTATGCAAAAGCTTGTGGTATGTTCATTTATTATTATTATGGTGGTTTCAGCGCGTATATATCTAGTTGTCGAGTCATAGAAGCGAACTTTTGAGCCAGTATGGCACCAAGATATCGTGAGAATGACCGTGAGATATAATATCGTGTTCGTGCACTGTCATAGATAAGAGACTCATACTGACGTATGATGTTGCAGGAAAAATTCAGGTTGCTCCTGGACGAAGCCCTCATAGTTGCTATCGCCAGCGACCATGATCTCACAGAAGCTTCTCAGTACAAGTCAGCTCAGACTGTCTTAGAAGACCTTGCCCAGCATGTCTCAACAGAAGAAGCGACAGGATTCAACCCAAGCGGCATTTCGAACATGCCTGAAGATGCGAATGGCGACGAGAGTACGGCTGAGACGAGCAGCCAACAGGCCTCTCGTGCTCACGACACAGATACCACTTCCGCCAGCGATCAAACTGCATCGACAACAAACACAACCTACTCCATACCCAGACTTACTTCGTTCGATGATGATAGCGAGGAGAATAAAGCCATGCTCCTCCAAAGCATGTTTAGTGAGCTCAAGGCATTTGACATTAAACACTCACTGAAAAAGGCAAATGGTGATGTGCAGACTGCGCTCGATGACCTACTGAACATCCAGTATCTTAAATCAACAGGTCAGGAGCAGAAGGGCATTGATGGCTTCTTTGAGCCCGACGAAGCCGTTGGTAAGAAGAAGAGAAGGAACAAGAAGAAGGGCAAAAAAGCTTTGAGAGGCGAAACACCATCATCCAGCAGTGGAAATATCTCTCCATCCCCCGATGACCTCAAGGAGTTGAAGCGTATGTTCTAACCAATCATTTACCAGACCGTGATAACTAACAGTCTGACTTAGGCCAGGACGAGATCGCATATCTAGCAGACAGGCTGGACTTACCCTTTGGAGTAGTCTCCGATATCTACCACAACAAACGCTGTGCGAGTGGCGCCGCTGCAGTTGAGATCTTGCATCGATACATGTCACAAGGCATCGAAACCCAGGATAAAGAGGCAAAGAAATATGCACAGGAACTCGCCCAAAAATATCAGAATGTTCCGGAGAAGTTTATGTCGACAATTGTGCAGGTTACGGGCTCTTCAGCGCAAGAATCAGAAGACATCGCGGCGCTTGTTAGCAAACATTTCGTCAAGAATCCCTGGACACAAAAGCTTGAAGTCAGTTATCAACTGACGCCACTGCCCGTAGAGGACATCGAAGGATTTGAGACAGTTACGCGAGGGAAGTCCAAGCTGGCCCGGCCGGTATCAGGAAGCACGAGCTTTCCCGTCGGCTCGTCAGCGTACGCGCAAGCTGCTGAGAGAGCCAGCCAATACAATCGAGCCAAACGTGAAGCAGCGGCTTCAGCAGCATCCTTAAATCGACGTGGTGCCTCTAATCCACTCTACCGACAGGCAGCAGGTTATTATTCTGAAAGGGCACGAGAGCAGGCTCGATATGAAATGCATGCTACGTCAACAGCGGCAAATTTACTCGTTGATAAGCAAAGCACATCAACTTCAATTGACTTACACGGCCTCAACGTGCAGTCTGGCGTGAGCATTGCTCGCGAGAGAGTCCAGTCCTGGTGGGCTGGCCTGGGAGAGTTTCGATCTGATAAGGCTCGACAGCAGCCTTTTACTGTCATAACTGGACTCGGCCGCCATAGTGCTGGTGGTGTGTCAAAGCTGAGACAAGCTGTGGCTTCAGCTCTCCTCCAAGATGGGTGGAAGATGCAGGTTGAGACTGGACGCTTTCTCATCGAGGGTAGGCTATAAACGCCAAGATAAAGAATGCCTTGCGGTGGCTATCTCATCTATATTTTGGAAATATTCCGCATTGGCCTGGATCAACCAGATCGGCAATTCTTACGACAGCTCATTGCTCAAACGGTCAGATGGGATAACATTCACCTCAAGTTTTGGCCATGTTGGAGTTCTGGACCCCGAATTCAAGCAAAGGCTTACGCAGCCTCTGATCCACAAATGAACCCGAAACAGTCATGACAACCAACTGCATGTTTCCTGCGTCGACCCTGGCGAATAGACGAGCGGAAATAGTACTGTTAGCGCAGCCATTACCATGGAAACTCGGACCATGCAGCTTTAAGGCTGTGCTAGGCACGCACGAAACATGATCCTTCGCTCCTTGCGCTAAACCTCTGCCAAAGATCAGAGTAAACGCGGCGGTTTCCTAGATAGGATATGGCTTTGCTTTTGTTTTGTCACATCATGCCCCTGTGGGTGCTATCACGGTGTTATTGTATAAGTACTGAGGTGTCCGCCATGAGACACCAGTATCACCACTTACAAGGCTGACCATAAAAATTCACGGATCACTCACTCATCGACACTTCAGTATGGCGGCCAAGAACCAGTCAGGACAGCCTTCTTATGAGCCTCTTCCCAGAGAGGACCCCGCAGCTGCGCTGCTGTCACCATCCGACCGGGAGGATAGAGACAATGGGAAGACGCCCGTGTTCCGACTCTCTTTCTCACCTATCATGCTGTTACGATTGATGATTGTCCCTATCGTCATCACCGATGTAGTTTTCATCTGCATGCCCTATGACTCTCCAGGATCAGCCGCCGTTTTCGCAATCGGTGGAATTTTCTTGGCTATTTGGCATGCGTCCCGCGTCTTCAAGAGCCTCCTCCCAGGCAGGAAGAGCAACAAGTTCGACCTCAAGATCGGAAACTTTTTCTGCACCGTTGGCACGACTTCGCTTGCCTCACGCTCAAGCCGTGGCGCCGGGACTTATATTGTCAGCGCTATCGACTTTTCTTTCGGTCTTTTCTTCATCGGACCAAGTGTTCTGTCCTTCATTACATATAACTGGGCTTATCTCGCAAATATCTCGGGCCTGAGTCTTACGGTTGTGTAAGTATCCAACTGATGGTTTCGGTCATTCAAGTGATGCTAATAGTGTATTACAGGATCATGCAGTCGGCCATTGCTGTTCTCAACCTGATCAGTCTTTTCCGCAAGATGAAGATCGTTGTCTACAGGGGCGAGGACGAGGACGACTACCTGTACTCGATCCCTGACCTCGATGTCTTCCGAGACGAAGTTTCTGAGCCCCGCGACTCGATGGCTTCTGAGGTCTAGAGGACCAAATCGGAATTTTACTAAAGGAACCCAGTACCTAGCCTCTAATCTCTTCCTTCCAAAGATAACACCGACTACAAAGACCGAGGCCAAGAGGACTATGGATTAGCCCGATACGATAATGTTCTGAGAACAATATCTGGGTGGAAAATGTATATGGTGTAGTCTGTGAGTAACCTGTATTTTGCTGCCGCAGTGACAGGCGGTATAGATAGCTTTCACATAGCGTGACGTGAGATGAGAATTGAATATTGCCGTACACCTTCATCTCCTACTGCTTCTGCCGCTGAAGATTCTGTCCAACCCTCTCCCAGACAGCCTGACCTGTAGTAAAGGTGGTGAAGAACATGGCTAAACTAACTAAGCCGGGCTCAAGCTCGACCCATCCAACTGTAGTGGTGGGAAGAAGCATATCGAGGAGATCAGAAACGAGAGCGCGGAGGAGAGTGTAGCCTTCACTCTTGAACTTCTTCATCCAAGCACGTCTCTCGATCTTGCGTTTGTTGACGATGCTCTTGAGACGCTCACGCTCTTTGTCGAGATCTTCCTTGGTCATCTTCTCAGAGAGAACCGCAGTCTCCTTCTCTGTAGTAATAAGCTCGGCTGGTTTTTCCGTAGAGCTGATGCTAACAGTCTCGCGTTTGACAGAGGCAGGAGTCCCAGCGACTAGTCGATACAGTCTGATAACCGTGACAAGAACAGAAGTGTACAATCCAGCGAACCAGAAAAGTTGCGACTGGTAATCAATCTCCTGGAATTTCTCAGGACTAAAGATACGAAGGTTCTCGATGCCGCAGAGATCAAGGAGAGTCAAAGTCTCCATCATGCCGAACATGCCGAAACAGGTCTTGCTAATGATATCAAGCCACACATCGATGCTCTTATCGCCTTGAGCGACGTAAACGAGCCATCCTGCGCGGAAAGTGTCCAAAAAGCGGAAGAACCGAATGAAACGTCGGGAGACGTTGATTTGGCCGCCTAGAACGCGGAGAGATAATGTTGATGACACCTTAGGCTGGACAAGGGCAAATAGAGCTGGGTACCAGACTAGAAGAGAGCATATCGCTTGAAAACCACGGAGAATTCGCTCGATGCCGACTGAGAATAGTTAGTGAGTGTGTCTGGTGAGGATTTGTGAGAGAAATACCAAGATCTGTGCCAAAGGCAACAAAATGCTCATATTTTCCCACCATAACTGCTGGTCTACCGAGACAGAGGTGTAAGAAACAAACTGAAAGAAGTCGAGATTTATGCCACGAATTTATATACGTCTAACGCAAATGAACAGAAAATTACAAATCATTGACCCCTGGTTGTTAGGTTGTTTGTTGAATAGGCGGTGTTGATGGGGCCAGCCAGTAGTTCAATGTTAGTGGATCCTCACATACACGTAGATTGAATACGGCAATTTGAAGCGACTTGTATATGAGTGAATGATACAATATTCTCACATACATCGAAGCTGTTTTTATTTTCACTTGAAGAGGATTCATTCAGGCAAACATAGTTTACTTTATCAAATCTTACTCCCATTGAACAATAAGTAAATATAACACATGGCATCTACCTAATAGTTGTAGTTATGCACAAGTACGATGCAAGACACGTCAAGCTTAATTCCTTCCTCTCTCCATGCCCTTTTCTACTCAAGATACCAATTATTGACCGGGAGACACCAACTTGCCTTGGGCTCTGGCATTATGGTTCCATCCACCAGCAAGGGCCTCACCACCATGCTCCTGGGAGAACTTCTGGATACGAGCCTCCAGCTCAGGTCGGAAGTGTCGGATAAGACCCTGAATAGGCCAGGCGAAGGCCTCTCCCAGAGCTAAGCACCATTAGTACAGCGTTATAGACAGGTGATTGAGATAAGAACTTACCGCAAATAGTGTGACCCTCAACCTGCTTGGTGAGCTCCTGGAGCATGTCAATCTCACGCTCGCGGGCCTGACCCTTCTCAAATCGCTTCATCATCTGCTCTGTCCAATTGCTACCCTCTCGGCAAGGTGTGCACTGGCCGCAACTCTCGTGGCGGTAGAAGTGGCTGAGACGGCTGATAGCTCGGACAATATCGGTGCTCTTATCCATAACGATAACAGCAGCAGTGCCAAGACCAGACTGGCTGTCCTTGAGGGCATCAAAGTCCATCAGCTGGTCATCGCAGACGTGCTTGGGGAGAACAGGAGTAGAAGAACCACCAGGGATGACAGCCAAAAGGTTATCCCATCCACCTCGAACACCACCACAGTGCTTGTCAATCAGCTCACGCAGAGGAATGGACATCTCCTCCTCAACAGTGCAGGGGTTGTTGACATGGCCAGAGATACAGAACAACTTGGTGCCCTGGTTACGCTCTCGGCCGAAGCCAGCAAACCAGCTTCCTCCTCGTCGGCAGATAGTAGGGGCAACCGCAACAGTCTCGACGTTGGTAACAGTTGAAGGGCATCCGAAAAGACCGACGGCAGCAGGGAACGGGGGCTTAAGACGAGGCTTTCCAGGCTTGCCCTCCAGAGACTCAATAAGAGAAGTCTCCTCACCACAGACGTAGGCACCAGCACCTCGGTGCAGGTAAACATCGAAGTCGTAGCCGGAGTCACAGGCGTTCTTTCCGATCAGGCCGGCGGCGTAGGCCTCGTTGATGGCTCGCTGGAGAACAGCAGCCTCCTCGACGAATTCACCACGGATGTAGATATAGGCGGCGGTTGCGTTCATGGCTCGGCCAGAAATAAGACATCCCTCGATGAGCTTGTGTGGGTCCTTTCGCATAATCTCACGGTCCTTGCAGGTTCCGGGCTCACCCTCATCGGCATTGACGACGAGATAACGGGGCTTGGTGTCCTTATCCCAGTCCTTGAAGTTCATGAAAGACTACAGAGCGTTGGGTTAGAGACAATTGATGCTGGGTCGGCCTCCTGAGCCGTAAAACCAATCTTGGAGAAACCTACCCATTTGAGACCCGAGGGGAAACCAGCACCACCTCGTCCTCGAAGACCGGAGGCCTTGACCTCGCTGATGATCCAATCGTGTCCCTTGAGAATAATCTCCTTGGTCTTGTGCCAATCGCCCATCTTCCTAGCACTCTTGAGGTCCACGGGATATCGGTTATAGAGGTTCTGGAAAATGCGATCCTGGTCTCGTAGACCACCGTATGTTCGCTTCGGGGCGCCGTCCTGGACAGTAGCCAGACCCCTCACGGCGGTCCGTGAGAGGCCGACGGCCTTCTTGGGCGCCGTTCTCGTGGACAGCATTGTGCTCGATCGTTGTCGGGTGGCGGTTTGGAGATGGTTGAACGTCAAGTTGCGGCACTTCAAGTTTCCCGGGCGAGATCCATTTCGTGACCAGGCCGTTCAGAAATAGCGGGCTAGTGATTGGCCAATCCATTACGCGATTATTCAGCCACTCAAGTTAGCCAGGACTTTGCTCCACACCAATTCTCACATATTAACAGAAGTCTTTCTTATCGTTTCTGTTAAGCGCATCAAGTGCCCTTTGCCCCCGATTTGCCTCCAACCGATATCCTGGAGTCATAGATCCTGGTAGCGCCGCTTCACGTAAGCATTCAGGGAAGGGTTTCTATTCGACGGACTCGATCTGTGGTGTCGCAACACCAACTCAAGTATCGTGGGCTTTGTTTACAAGCTTCATCTCGACTTCCTCCGCCGTGTTGATGAGAAATGACCACTGACATCTGTGCGATGATAACCTGAGTCGCGTTCATCATGTCTAGCAAAAGACATTCCATTCTTCCCGCTATCGATCGCAGTGGTCCCAGGCCTCCCGTCCATTTCTCAGATTCCCTGACCATCTCCGATAATGCGATTCTCCAAGGAACACACTCGATCACGATACAATCAGAAACAGTAGTACACCCTCGGTCAAAGTTTGAGTCAAACTCGGGATCTATTTTGATCGGGCGACGATGTCTCATTCACGAACGAACACACCTGGGAACTCGCCCTGTCGACACTGATACTGCGCAACGCGGTGGCGTCGTGCTGGCAGACTTTGTTACAATTGAGGCAGGCAGTGTTATTGAAGCTGGAAATACCGAGATCGGCGAGGGTACGGTGGTTCACGCTGGGTCAACTATCGGGAGTGGTGCTAGGATTGGCAAGGTAGATATGAACCCCCCATCTTCGTGATCAGGAGCTGACAATATCTAGAATTGCACCATTACGCAGATGACGAAGATTGCCCCTGGAACAATACTGCCCGACAACACTGTAGTCTTCTCGAATGGGACAAGACGAATCGATCGACGTAACCTTGGTGATCAGAGGAAGATTGCCTTGATGAAACAGCTCGCTGTCCTACGAAAAATGATACCCAGTAACGCCGATAAATTTAAATAAGATACCCATACATATTCTATTTTGAACAACCTCATTATATATGATAAGGCTCAGCGGGTTCCCTTTTGGTGATACTCCTTTGTTCTATCACTATATTGATCACAAAGAATCTACACACATTCTCCATAAAGTATAGTTACACCCCATGAGCAGCGAACAACACCGAATAGCATCTCATCACAACGGGCAGGGTGCGGCAATGCATACAGCTCATATTAAAATATTATTATGGCCCAGTGAGGGCATATGGCACATAAAACAAGACCGAGATGTAGGCCGTGCCTTCGTGAGACGAATCAAGACTATCATCTTCGGTCTCTGTGAAATAAGGCCAGCCCTGTTATCACCACCATAATAGCCCATCTCTCTCCAAGAAGTCCTGTCAAGCCCGTTCCCATAAAACGAAAATGCGCAACCTTTGTCAAACTTCTTCCATCGCCCATCGTCCAAGCTGCAACAACTTCGTTTCCTTGGCTATCTTTAAAGCCGCCTGGCGCAAATGCCATATTTCCCCCTCCAGGAGCACCACGGCTCATACGCACAAGCTTCCAGCCATAATAATGACCACCCAAGCTTGCTATGACATCTCCACGTGAGCGCCGCCACTCAAATCTCTCTCGTGGTCCATTGCCAAGTGGTCCGACTTCGATAGCAAAGCTATAGCCTGTACCGAGACCACTGTGTGAACCTACTGGTTCAACTACTTCGCGTGCCAATGGAGCTCCCGAGCCTGGCACTGGAGGCAATTCGACTTCGAAACTAGCGCTCATGAACATGAAACTTGCAGAGGCCAGAGGTGAATATGACGGGCCTGGACCAGAGTGTAAAAGAATTGGCGGTAGATCACTCAGGCCGGAATGTGCGGAGTAGAGGTAGAGAGGGTGGTTTTGATGTTCAGCGAGTGTATAGGAGTTATTGGGCCATCCTTGGTAGTACAGATTGAAGGCCGGTGGGAATTGGCGTGGAACAGCTGGTGGTTGGCTGGGGCCTGCAGTTGGAGGAGGACCCTGTGATGCTGATGCTGATGCTGATGCTTTTGGTTGCGGAGCTGCAGCTGCAGCTGCAGGCGGAGGTTGTGCAGGGAGCTTCTTATGCTGGTTTTGGCTCTCGGCGTATGAAGGCGGAGGTTCATCTGGAACATCAGAGGGATTCATTTTCTTTTGAAGGTTCGGGGCTTGAAGTGTGTTTGAGAGGTAAATCAGTGAAGCCGACCACAAGTGAAAGCGATGACGTCGTCAGTAAAGTAGCTAATAGTCAGTCGTCGCAAGAGAAGCAATATTAGCAGCTCGTATCAAATTTATAGAATTTCTACGAGGTCGAGTATAGTGATTGGAGAAGTCGAGAGGACAATGTCAGCGAAAGTGAACAGGTTTTGTATAAAAGCCAAGAGGTTGAGGTCGTGCTGCAGTGATATCAGTGTATTGCGTAGATAGAATGTGGCTGTGAGCTGAGTTTGTGGCTATGCATGTTACAATTTCAGCTTGAGCCTTTGGATCTTATGCATGCATAAGTGAACGACTGTCAAGGCTCCGTTATAAACGGTGAGCGCTAGACCACAGCAAAGGCAGCCGACGGTATGTGGGATACAGACAAGTTGTGCATGATTCGGTATCCGCCAAGAATATCCCTGGATCAGGGGTCTTCTGACACGTCGTCACTTATATGGAGCTCCGGATATCCTGGGATGCACCACGTCCTGTCGTTGTGAGCTATTCCGGGGAAGTCGGCTCTTGAAAATGCATTATCGTATCCACTTGTATGTAGCTCATGAAACCAAGGCTAAAACTGCAGTTATGATGTCGATGCTTGGAGAGACAATGACATGTTCAAGCCAGTGGAAGAGGCACGTGTTGTCGTAGCATGATGATCTGACTGACGACGATGCTTGAAGTATCGAGATATAGGAGTAAACATCATGATATTCTTATGATCTCCAGTCACCTATCTTAAGCCGTGAATGCTCTCATCAGAACCAGCCACTCATTCTTTCTATGAATTCAAACCCATTCTTTATGCAAAAGACCAGCGCTAACCAAGACCTAATTCACAATGACCACGCCATTACCCAATTCCTGTTTTTTATCGCTCTAAATAACATGTCTTAAAATCTGTACCATATGTAAATGCACAACTTTTCTGTAACACAAAAGATAAATGATTTCCCAATGCTGATGCCAATGCTGATGCTGCGCTGAACTTGAAACAAATAAAGCAATTAGAAACTGAACAAGGCACTGCGGCGCTTACCCAGAGGGTAGATGAGCAAAGAGCTCATAAAGAGACCAACGGCGATACCGATGGCGATCTGAATCATGGAGGCAGCAACGCTGAATACCAAGTTATCAGGGTTCGAGCCCTGCTGGAACTGAACAGAGGAGGTTCCATTGATCTCACCAGTGGCGTTGGTGATAGAGTTGGCGACTTGCAGACCACTGAGCAATCCTCCAGTGGACGCAAGACTTCCAGGCACTTGACAGAACACTGCTGGAATAAGAATTGCGGCTGCAACACCGTGTCGAAGTCGAGAGTAAAGGTTGGCAAGGAGTCCAACGGCCAATGCACCCAGTGTGCTGGAGATCTGAGGGCTAGACTTGAATCTCTGTCCACTCCAGTAGTTTACCATGTAACCAGCAAATGAAACGATGACCATGACGGGCATCTGACGCCATTTGGCTTGGTAGACGATACACATGCTGATGACGAAGAATGGCACGAAAATGAAGCCGTAGTAGGGGTTCATGGCATCGGGACAAGTTGTAGTGTTGGACGGGTTACTGTCGAATAATCCGTAAAGAGCGGCACCAACAGTGATACCGAATCCGAGGAGAAGGGAGTAAATGACGGCGTAGACAATTCGAATCGAACCGGGGACAATAGCGCGAGATTGGAGTTCGAGAGCAGAGCACACTGTATTATGTTAGTTTTTATCACATTATGAGGTAGGGAGAATTGACTTACAAACCATGTAACCGGGCAGCAACATGACAATACCGCCCTGCGCCAAAGCGCCGAAACAAAAGATCTCTTCGCCTCCACTGGAGATACTGCCAAACGTTCTAGCCAAGAAACTGACAATGATGGTAGAAGAAACTTCGAAGACGTTGCTATAAAGCGCAGAGTTGGGGGCCACAATAAGCTGGAGTACTCCAATAAGACAGCCGAAAGCGAAGATGAGAGGAAGATCGATGAGACGAGCTCCGAAAGAGAAAGGGGCAGCACAGACACTCATGAGTCCAAACATGACAACTCTCAGCCACCTGTGGAACTTGTCCTTGCGCTTCATCAAGGTCTCGAGTTTCTCGGTAGCTTCTTCAACACCGACAATGTCGTGCATAACCTCCTTGTAGATAAGATGAACATCCTTCAGCTTGCCTAGATCAATACCCTGCGATGTGCGAACAATTCTGACTTCGGTGGTGTGAGTCGATCTATCATCGAAAGAGATAATCATGCATCCAGGAAGATATAGAAATTGACCATCGATTTCGAGAACTCTGGCAGACATGCTAAGATACTCCTCCAGTCTATGAGTGGGAGCTCCAAAAAGCATGAGAGCACGGCAGAGTTTGATGATGTAGTCCTGTCGGGCTAGAGTCTCGGCGATATGGACTGTGATACGTGCTTCTTGTTGTTGCCAGAGACCACTGAGGCGGTTTGCGCTTGTTGTTCGCTTGTGGCCAGGTCTTTGGGGCTTCTTTCCAGTAGGTTTCTTCCTCTTGTCCTCCGGGTCATTGGGGTTGGCGAGTCGCGATGAGGCCTCGATGAGGTTGGCGAGAGTGTCCTGGGACCTGTTCTGATCGTACCATTTTCGCTTTGGTGTAGATGCTCCAGATGGCGTTCCTTGAACTGTAGGAGTACCGCCTTCACTTAGGACCGAAGAGGTAGAGGCAGCTCGGTGGTGTGAGCCCTTGAAAGGAGGATCTGGGGGTTTGTAGAGCTTCAAAAGCTGAGATAGTACGCTTCCACGATACTGTTCAGGTGCTGGAACATCGTATAAGACTCCATCAAAGTTTCCGTCATATACTTCGGCAAGGGGAACTCTTTCTTCCTGTTTTGTGTCCTTTTTGTCTGGTGTCTGCTGACCAGTGCTACTAGGTCCAAATCGCTGAGTGTGTGCTCGAACAAGCTTGAAGGCTTCTTCCTTCAAGCCATGCGCCTCTTGCTCCTCAGACGGAAGCTTGTGGAAACCTTCTCGGCTGCTGCTACCTTCGTTGAGAGTCTGGAGTGGGATACTGGAACCATAAGGACTGTCCCACGCGGCTGTTCCAGTGCTGGATTCGAGTGAGTCTCTGTCAATGGCTGATGAATCATTGTGAATGTTTGCCGCCATTATACGGGCACGTTCCTGGGCAGCCACCATCGCCTCCTTTGACTCAGGGTCTGACTCATGCTCGGCATCATGAAGAGTCTTCACGGCCTCTGCAGAACTGCCACGCAAAAGTGATGGCCTGGGCTTCGCGATGGGGCCTCCAGCAGCAGGAGGGGGAGTAGATGATTTTGGTGGAGGGTTTGCGGCAGCATTGCTGTTGAACCGCACCCGCGCCTTGTCCTTCTTCAAAGCTGCAGCAGCGGTCTTTGGGCTTGGTGGTGTATCGGTACCAGAGCCAGAAGCTGAACCAGAACCAGTCTTGGGCGGTTCAGGTCCGACTTCTAGGTCGGGTTCGTCTTGAATATCTCGAGAAGTGCCCTCCATTGGATGGTGAGTGACTGGAATATACCTTGAATCAGGTACAAGATATCGATTTCCTTTAGTAACGAGCGAAGGAAGTGGAAAAGATGGGACTGTGATCCAAGATGTACAGGGATAGACTGGAGAGCCTCAACAACACCTTTCGCGGGGAAGGGCGGGTTTACGTTATTATATGAAGATCGCAAACTCTATGGGCTCCATCAACAAGCTTTGCGGGTTCCAGTGTTAGAATTGGGTATCGTACGTACGTACGACTAACACGGACGGGCCCTGTCCATCTCCGGCAAAAACAGCGATCACCTCCCTCGGGCTCGTACAGTACAGGCCCCGTGACGTAGTGGATGTGGAGGCACAAGGGAGAAAATTGAGCCCCGAAGTCTTGGAGATTCTTGGAGCTTATTGTGAAACCGCTTGGTTCGAGTTTTTCTTAGGTAAATTCCAGGCCAGCATCACGACGTCGTGGCCATCGGAACGCCATCCGGCCGGCAGTCCGGGGATAATTGAGCCAAGGCCCACCAGGTGAAAAACACTAAACAGGCTCATGACTCTGGTAGCTCGTTCTATTTTGGAAGAGAAGCCTGAGAAGGCCGGGTAGAAGAGTCAAGCGAAGCTTCTGATATCCATAGACTCTTGGTCCAGAATCTCAAAAAGGAGTCGCTTCATCAAAGTCTTTCAATTCTCCCCGTTCGCCTCCATCGCTAGTCTACAAATATTTTATTCTTCCACCTCTGTTGAAGAAATTGTAGGGGGGCTTGCCAGGATTAGCATGGCGTCTCGGTTACCAATGCAAGATTCGTCTTGTTTTTACCTGATATGGTAATCTTCCAGTGGATCGGTCCAGCACCTGCAGGGACTTTTCAGATTCACCCAATGACGCCTGTTACCGAGAATGGCATTTGCAACTTTGCCAGGGAGTCAGTGGGTGTTAGTGTTACTGTGCACTAAAAGAGAAAGGGACGATTCTTAACGGTCGATATGGTGACATTCGAAACGTGGAGAGTTGCACAAATCAATGCATGTCATTGAACAGCATAATTGTATTAGTAGTACGCGGTTTCAGACGTATGGATAAAGCCTTATGTTATAAACGCACGACATGCAAAGAAGCATATAATATACCACTTTTAGAAACAGTTTACACACATCGTCGATTTTCCCGAATGTTCCATAGAAAATCAAAGTGGATCAGATTATCATGGTACACATGTTACTATATTTGTATCCAAATAAGTATGTACTAAACCAGATACCGTACTGTATTTAAGAGTGACACGACATCCGCGGCTGCAATCGATCGACGACACGCAATGCAATTGCATACCCGCATTGACGAACTTCTTTCTCCAATATGGGTCTTAGTGAGTCATCGCGTTCTCAAACAACCTCCTTAGCTGGTCTTTCTCCGCTTCAAGCTGTGTAGACAATCCTGGTGCCAGCATCAACACACGTGCCTGAGGAATGGTACCTTCGACAAGGGCCTCAACGTGCTCCGAGCCGAAACCCAACTCCTTAAGACCCTTGGGCTGGTCACCGAGCTCCGCAAGGAATTTGGTAATAGCTTCTGCAAGCACTTCGCCTGCACTCTCGCGCTTCACATTGCTGATATCAACCCCAAAGGCCTCTGCTGCCGCCAAATGGCGATCTGGGTTCGACGCTGCTGTGAAGCGGAAGACTGCTGGCGCAGAGACAGCTACGGAGACACCGTGAGGAATAAGAGGGGCTTCCACTTGGTAACCATCGTGCCTGTAGCCTGGGTTCTGGCCAGAAATGGGGTACGACATGCCTGGGCTCGGGTTAGCACCCAACCGGGGCAGAAATTTATAACAGAGTAGGTATGAACTAACCATGGCAGAGATGAACACCGGCATTACCGAACCCAACGCCGGCCAGAGTGGAAGCGAGAAGCATTTCAGATTGGGCCTCCAGGTCATCAGGGTTCTTCACCGATCGCGGGAGATACTTGACGGTAGAGCGCAGTGCATGAAACGAGAAAACGTCCGAGATAGGGTTCGCGCCTTGGTACGCGGGCCGAAGGATAGGGTTAGTTGGTCTAGGTGTTCTCTCGTTGTATGGAATGGCAGTCCAGGACTCAAGCGAGTGGCACAGAACGTCGAGACCCGAAGCGGCCTTGACAGCTGCCGGCATGGTCCTGGTGTTGAGGGGATCACAGATACCCAGTGTGGGCTTCAGGTTTCGATGAGCTACACCGGTCTTTGCTCGCTTAGACACAAGATCGAAAATGGCAGTTCCTGTCGTCTCACTACCAGTACCTGCTGTTGTTGGAACCGCAATGAGCGGTGTCAACTTCTTGTCTACTGGACGACCCTTTCCAAGAGGGGCGTTGACAAAGTCTAGAAAGTCTGCATCTGGATATGCCGTGTATAGGTTCATGAGCTTGGCCGTGTCCATGACTGATCCACCACCAACGGCGAGGAAGGCATCTGGTGCATAAGGGCGAGCCCAGGCAATGGCATCCTTGATGCTGTAACATTGTAAGTGAGCTGTAGTCTGATAGACGTGATGTTGGGTCGAACTTACGAGCTGTCCTTGGGCTCGACGCGAACCTTGTCGTAAACCTCATAAGGAATGCCTTCACGAGCAAGGGACTCACGAACTTGTCTCATGGCATCCAGCTTGCTGACATTCTCATCTGTTACCACACAAACACGCTTTGCTCCCATGTTTTTCAAGTCCATGCCCACCTCCTGCGTCACACCTGGGCCAAATCTGATGGACGAGGCAGCCATCTCAAAGGCATACTCCTTCTGGCCTGGGTGCGATGTTGGCGTGGCATACTTACGCTGGTGAGCATGCTTGGAGGGAGTGAATGTTGGTGGCGACTGGTGATATCCTGGATTTGAGTGACAAGGGCATGAAGGAGGATGAGTGTATTGAATGGTACGTAGCAAGCTGGTTGCTCGCTTAGCAGCCTATGTGAATGTGAGCCATCTGAACTGAAACCATTCACACAAAAAAGCAGCTATGGCAGTGCTCGTGCTTGTGCTTGATCATAAGGGGTAAACATACATTAGGGACAACTCTCACGGAGGGTACCATGGTGTTGTTATGTCTATGTTACCAAGCTGGGTATAAGAGCACAAAGATATTATTCCCAAGGATCCGGGGTAAGACTGGGGTTCGAGAGGACTTCAGGTTTCACACGAATCTTCTTAATGAAGCAATTGCAACGGGTAAGAGTGTTCATTTTCAATGTACAACCTCGGTAGACGGACGAGCAACCCCGATTGCGGGGTGAACTCAAGGCCGATCTGGGGGGCGATGATGGGGGTTGATTCGTGAGGGGAAAGCGGATCTCAGCTTAAGCTCTTGATCCTGAAAGGAAGCTGGAGCGAGAAATTGCCTATTTGGGTATTCCGCTGACGTCTTTGTTGGAAAAGTGACCTACAACTAGCGGTTCTATTGAATGTCTCGCGTGAGTATTTATATGTCTCGAGCTATTCTTATCGTCCGAATGGCCTGAACTAAAATTATTGAGATTTTACGAACCAACGTTGTTGGTACGACCATGCCAGACATGCTGCATCATCGGATCAAGTACTTGTTATAACGAGATATCGTCTTTAAATGACACCGGGACCAGAAGCTTCCTTGATGATGGATACTTCTTCTAATAACTGCAAGGTCACCCAAGCATTCAGGAAGGTGAATAAATGTTCATGATCACGACTGGAGCGTTTGGAGGTGCGCAAGTTACCCTGTACTATTTCCGTGAATAACTCCAACTTAGTCGATTCCGTAGCTCATAGCTTTGTCGAGCTCTGTTGTGGTCGGTCAATCTTGAATGAGGAAGTCCAGTAATGAACTATCTCTAAGACGTCTTAAAACTACTAATGAGAACCATATCAGCATTCTATCATAGACAGCTCTCCCAAACGTTTTCGCTGTCACAGAACCACTTAAACGAATCAAGTACAGACTTGGTAGATTTGAGTCTAGTCGCACATTGATATGCGCTCAAAGAGTCCGTGGATACCAAATTGAGTCAGTACATGCATAGATTGAGATCAATGTTTTGATACTCAATATTTAAAGCGTCGCTGAAATGTGATTTTTCGGTCCCGGAACAGTTTGATAGCTGTTACAGACTGAGGTGCTGTGACGCGCCATACAGTGGCGTATGATACCGCTGACCTCATCATGTGGCTTGTTCATTGGCTCTCAACACATGACTTGGACAATGTGGCTTGCCGTCGCAACTTTCCCAGAGCTTGGTTGTTTAGGCTTATTGTTAGTGGAGCTTTGTTACAATCCAATTATTAAAGATAGAGCGTCATATTAGAGAATACTCGGCCATTTATCAGCACAAGAACGGCTGTGAGTAGGCCATCAATTACACCCGACGCCTTAGACTACAGCTCCAAGCTGCGGTGGAGCATTGGAGGCAGGTACACGACTAAGCAGGTGCCCACCCGAAACATCCACATCGAAATAGGGAAACTCCAGCCACAATTGACCTCGACGACCTGTCCTCGAATCCGCGACCAACCACCACATCAGCTTTCAACGTACATTGTATACTCGACTCAACGACACTCGACAACGCTCTCCGTCTGCGCAGTCGCTCATTCGTCCCGGAATATTCGCTGTACCCGCGAAATAATCTCACCAGGCTGCTGCTCGATCGAACATGCCTCCTTGCTCATCCTAACGCTCCTGCGTGATCCCGTTCCTCGAACTCTGTCATGGACCGCCCAAACGGGGGCGGCCCTGGTGCCGCCGCGGCTACTAGCAGGGCAGAGCGATTCGAGGATGAAAAGCGCCGTATAATAGAGAGCTGCTTTAACAAGAAGGATGTTGATGGTTCTCGTAAGTTATGCTGTTGAAGTCAACCCCAAACTCAACGACATGGGCTCCTAGCTCAAAGAAACACAATGTCGCGAGAGTTTGGGTATAAGGCTCTTAATCTCAAACTCATTGTCCAGCTGGCTGATGGCCTTGACCAGTTCTTGAAACATACATAACTCATATCCGCATTACCGAATACTCCTCTTATCCTACGACCCCTCCTCCACCTCAGGCTCGGAACGCTGAAGGTCAAAAACCTCGAATAATAATAGTAGCTGTGCGCAAGTCCGGCCGAGTTCGCCTGCACAAGTCAAAAGAAAACGCTAATGGATCGTTTTCAATCGGAAAAACGTGGAATCTTGACGACCTCTCGCGCATTGAATCTTACACTGGCCCCCAGGCCATCCCAGACCACCGCGACTGGGCTGGCGACACCGGTTTCCAAGTGACACTCGGCAAGCCATACTTCTGGCATGCTCAGACGGACAAGGAAAAGAAATTCTTCATTGCTAGTCTTATCAAGATATACGGGAAATACACGGGTGGTAAGACGCCGGAGCTTGCAAATTTTGAACAAAAGGAGTATGATCAAGTTATGGGAGCAACAAGACGACCGGCTACAGGCGGTTCTCGGCCGCAACCTCCTCCTATAGCTGAGCAACCTTCGAGCCAGATGGCGAGCGCCCCTCCTCGTCCAATCCATCCGATGCATCCTTCGCATCAAGGACTCCCAGGAAGTGGTCCTCAAGACGCACCCCAGTACAGGACGCCGCCTACTCGCCCAGCACACCCGAATCTTGGCCCTTCACCTGTCGGAAGTTTCGATTCGACTACTTCAAGAGAAAGGCCGCCCCAACCTCGGTGGATGGCTCAGAGCAACAAGAGTCAGGATTCGGTCGCTACCTCCATGGCTACCAGGAGCGATGACGGGTCAAGTTTACCACCGCGCTCTCGCAATGGCATAAACGGCCCAGGGGCATATGGGAGATTTGCAGAGCCCCATGAATCCCGGGCACCAGCTGTTCTTACACCCCCCCAACCACAGTCTTCGCCCAAGTCGAAACCACCTGCTATTCTGTCTCCTCCTCAACCTCCACAGCCAGTTCCTTCACCACTTCAATTAGATAGACCGCCCCCTGAAAGGAGACGACCACCTATGGACCCAACTCGCCCTCATGATCGGGACTTGGTTCCCCCACCACTGATTAGTCCTGGGAACAAAGAACCAATGGCTCCTCCACCTCGCAGCAGCGAACGCGTTGTGCCGAGAATGGACAATGCAAGCCAGAAATCGACAAGCAGTTCGTTCACGGGGAGCACACTAGATCGAGAAGTAGCACCACCTCCAACAGGACGGCTACCAGACCCACCAAAGCGTGAGCCACTTCCCATGCCTTCGTCCCTTAGACCAGGATCAGGACCGAACAACCCGCCACAAGCTTATACACCCAATACTCCCTCACATCACCCGCCAACTAACGTAACAAATCAAACTCCAAGTCCTGCTCCAGGCAATGGACCCAGCCCTGCACCAGCCCGTATGCCCAGCCCGGCTCGTGGACCCAGCCCTGCAGCCGCCCGTGTTCCTAGTCCTACGCCAGCTCCCGTACCCAACACTTCGCAAGCACAGGCTCAAGCACCAAGCCCCGCTCTAGCTCTGTCTCCGGGCTCTGGAGCAGGTTCTTCTGATGTCTCGCCGATGACAGTGAGCGTGCCAAGATTTGCAAACTTACAACCGCCCCCTGATTTGCCCAAGCAAGAGCCGGTTCAGCCAGTGGAAGAACCATCACCAGGAGAGCGTGCAGTGACACCTTCTGATCGCGAGTCTAACCCATCACCAGCAGAGACAGTCGACGAATCCAGGCCAGGCCTCGGTCCTATGATCAGAGCCAAAAAGTCCAGAAATGAGATCGCCGGTGCATTGTGGAAGGCTGCGTCTGCGGCCAACGCTGCAACTGCCTTCAAACCCAGGCCTGGTGGTGCTGGTGAACGTATGCGTCTACTGAAGAGTAAGACGGAAGAGGGGCCAGATGGGATCAATAGTGTTGTCCCTGCGCCACCCAGACCGTCTTCCAAGGGTGTAGATACCCCCTCTGAACAACCTACACCAGAAGAAACACCTAAAGCTGAGGAAGAGGCCAAACAATTGGAGCAAGCTAAACCCGCGGAGCAGTCCAAGTCTGCGAACCGTAATTCGCTTGTTCCGGAAGTCAAGATTAGTCTCCCAACGAGTAGGCCGACGAGTTCGCATGGGCCGCCGCAGGAAGTGCAAAAGGCAACCGAACCTGAAAAGAAGGAGACCCGCCGCTCCATCAATGCAGGCAACGATATGAAATACCTGCAGACATTGGGAGTCAACCCGTCTATTCTAGATGAGAGGAGTGATGACTTTGCTCAATGGTTGGATTTCTTTGGTTGGATTCCAGGAGAACAAATGCGATCACGCAATGTGGAAGAAATGAGAGCTGACCTAGAGCGGGAGCTGAATAAAGCTCAGGCTGGTGGCTGGCTGGCTCGTTTCCGCGAAGAGGATGAACGCGTTGATGCCATCAAGGCTGGGCTTGATGTTGCTATGGCTGAGTGTGAGGAGCTTGACAACTTGCTCACACTCTACTCAGTCGAGCTTTCGGTATGTTGTTCTAAAATATGCTCGAAATGTTACTAATCATGAACAGACCCTTTCAGATGACATCGCTTACATCGAAGCCCAAGGCCAAGGTCTTCAAGTTCAAACTGCCAACCAAAAGTTACTCAAGAAAGAGCTTGAGTCTCTGCTTGAGACCTGTGCTATCACATCGAATGAGCTTGAAGTCCTCAGATCTGCACCTTTGGATGACTTAGGTGGCTTACAAAACGTCGAATCTTCTCTTGTAACACTTTATAAGGCAATGGTTAAGATTGATCCTGCGCGTAGTGGAGCTGATCAAGAGAAGGCCGATATTACTACCGAGACAAACCAGAGTGGCCTCAACCCTGACTTCAAGCAGATGCGGATTGTCCAAGAGAAGAAGCTTGTTTATGACCAAGAAAGCGCCATGTTCATTGGGAGATTGGTCGCCTTCATGTCCCGACAATTTGATCATGCTTTTACAGAAACCAAACTTGCTATGGAGGGAGCTTTGTCTAGAAAGGTCGATCCTATACACCACGAGCTTGGCCGCGATATTCTTTGGCAATTTAGCCCCCTCATGCTATACGCTCGAGATATGCATCCCGATGAGTGGAACCAGCTCATTCAGATTTATCAAGAT